CACCAATGAAGAAGCAGTCTCCAGAGTTGAGTTTTTCATCACTTTGTATCCAGAAAGAGATCCTGCACAACTTCTCATTGAAGAAGCTTTGGCCAGAGCAGCAACAAAAGCTGGTAAAATTCCTTCCTTCTTGAATTGTAGAGTGCTTCCAAAGACACTTGAGTATTATTAGATTATGGCATTTACCTCCAACACATGCTTATTTTGAGTCTGATTAAGAATGTCTGAAGCATTCGATTAGGAGAAAAAAAGAGGGTTCATTCATTATAATTGGATATGAATAGCGTGAACAAGCTTTGACATGTGGCCTGGCATTGCAGGTATGGATTTTTATGAGTTAATTGAAATCCCCCAAGGAGAACGTCGTTTATTTCATGATGATATTTCCATTGTCATCATCTCTTTGGAGGGAAAAATATGGCGGTCATCAGCCTGAATACACACATTAAAGGTTTAACAAGATGAGGGTGGAATGTGAATGTTTGGTTCAAATTGTGGGTATGAAAATCGGAGGCCAATGTTTGTAAGAAACTGCTCTGTGAATTCTTTGGATTGAAGGTCATACAATATTAATACACAAAGTTAGTTTAATAGTTCAAAGAATAATAAAAAAAAAATACTGACAGTGACAATTTGGGGAAATTTCAGTTTGGCTTTTTTCTTCTCTTTTTGTTTCCCCATTTTTGCTGTAATATCACATTCAGTTTATGTTTTTTTCTCTCATGTGAATAGGAGCTAAGTCACAAGTGCTAATATGAAAATCATGGTTTTTTTTTTCTTTTCCATGTCTGAGCTCAAGACTTGGCAGAACTTTGATATTTTTGTGCTAAACTCAGTGAAAAAGAATAAATTATACGAACAGTCAAACACCCCCTAAATTTTTAGTTGTGCATACGATCTCTAGTTTTTAAAATTTTGCGTAAATAGTATTTATGTCATTAATTAGTCTGTTATTTTATTATTAGAACACTGTACTAAAACTAACGAGTTCCCTTTAAACTCTGGATTATGGGTTTATAATTAATGTAAGAAAAATTATCATATGCAAGCAATCATTTTAGGGTCTCATGCTACCAGTGAAGTAATAGATTTATTGGTGAAGAGTTACATAGAGTTTTACGTGAATTCAATTTTTTCATCTGTCTCTTTTTTGGCCCAAGCCATTGCCGAAAAAACAGAGAGAAACACTATACTCCATCTGGAACTAAATGTGAGAATCATTCGAGGAATTTGCTTTGATTCTAAATATTAAGATCTCAATCTCCTTCGTTTCTCACATCTATCATTTTCCCTCGAACAGTCCCTACTAATTGCACACATATTAGGGGTAGTTTCTAATGCAAATGATTAAAAGAAAGGGTCTTTTAGGAAGGAGCACTTGGTTTTCCTCTCAACTTGGTTGATGACACTTAATCCCCCCTGTTTAACCTGGTTCAATCTCTCTAAATAGGACTAGGGACCTCCCATGGGAATAAAACGAAAGGGGTGATGGTGGCAGAGCAGTATAAAGGTGAACCTGGAATTAACTTGTTGCAGAAGTAGAGCAGTTGAAAAGAGAGGATCAACGTAATAAAAGTAGACTCGCAACGATCATAACAACAAAACTGGCATTTTCTTTTTAAATTCGTCATGCTTTAAATTAAAGAAAAATAGAAAAAAAAATTGATTGGTATTTAGAAGATTAGTTGAAGTTCCGAAAACAGTGTATAGTGACATATTGTTGGTTAGAGTGAGAGTATATTGTAATCCGAAATTGGTGTCAGCGATAGGGAGTAGGAAAAATCATGGACCGCGATGAAGATTTCTAGGAAGTCAGCGGCATGACGGTGAACTCGTAAGGGTGGTCCCAGAATATAAATATGAAATAGTTTACTTTAGATATCTCCACACAGAAAAATCCAAATTCATTACAATGGATAACACTAAACAGTGGTTTAGGTATCACGGAAGCTCTCAAGTGTGAAACTAGTACGGGACTGCACGTAGATAGTTCCAGGTTGACTTCTTTGTTCAGTCTCTCTGTCCACGTATGCATGATGTCATTTGTGTTGCCGATTACTTTTTCAAATCCTTTCGGTTCGCATTAGTTACTTTCATGAAATTAAAAAAATTAGTCAAATATCAAAAGTTTCTTTTTTTAAAAAAAAAAGAAATTGGGAGGAGAGAGATCATGGATGAGAGTTGAAATAGAAGTAAGCTAGACAACTTATTAAGAACCTACAGCCTGGTCCATGAATGTGCTAGGCCAGTTTTAGGCCTTTTAGGTTTATTAGGTTAATATGTGGAGCTATTTTTATAAGGGCCTGGCTCATAGGTCTAACAAATCCGTATATTTTCATACACATATATTATGTAATATATATACATATATGTATGTATATTATTTTATTTAAAAATTAAGAAATAACGGATTCTGCCACTTTTTTTCAGCCTTTTATTCTCATTCTTCTTCTAAATTAGAATTAAAAAACATTGGACGAGTTTTGTCTTCAGCATGTTTCTTTATTAATTTTTGGATGTTGAATTGGTAATATACCGACTACTCGATCTTTAATTGATTTGTTTTTTATTTCTAGTTTCTTGATTGTGTTTTCAATCAAATTGAATTTTTGTATTGATTTCAATTTTGTTATTGTATTGTTGTATTATATTATAGTTGGTAAATTTTTCTAGTTGATAAACGAGGTTACATATATGTATGATTTAGGTAAACTTTAGCTTCTAAACCAGGCTAAGTTTTAAATAGGTTCAAGTATATGTTTAAAAAAAGAAAACTTCACATAAGCTTTAAGCTAAGCTTTGGTTTTTAACCTATCACAAAAGCTTAAGACTATTTGATCAAAACCTAGCCTAGTTTGTCCTATTTTCACCCTAATGGAGATGGAAAGCCATTATTAAGATTAAGAGTAAAAGAAATAAAAACATTTTTAAAAAGGGAAAATGATGGATAAATCCATCTAAAATAAGGAAATTATAATTTAGTTCTGTGAGGTATGATAATTTCTTTTAAGTCTCAAAAGACTTGTCTAGTAATGAGTTTTGAAATGAGATGACATTTTTAATCATTGTTGATAGGATGTCGTGATTTCTTAAATTATTTTAATCATTAATGGAATCATATAAAATTAGTTGTAAATGATATAAAATTAGTTAAATTTTATTAATTAAAAAATTGCTGATAGAAAGTTATAATTTCATAAATCATTTTATTCATTAGTAGATCCACATTGATGGATACTTATACCAATCTTGATTTTTGTATTTCTTTGTTTTCTATGGAGGTAAAAATGTCATTTCACTTTAAAATTTATTGATAAATAAGTCCTTTGAGACTTGAAATGTATTATCACATTTTACAGAATTAAATTGTTATTTTTTTATTTCAAAATGATTTATTTGCATTTTTCCTTTTAAAAATGAGTCACAAATTTTTTATTAAATTTTGTAATGAGCTTTGTATTAGGAATCAATTGGGAGGGTATTATAAATAAGATTGAAAAGAATATTTATTAATGTAAACAACAAGTTGGATGAGAAAAAACTATGCATGCCTTAAATAATATCATGTGTTCCCAATTTTGTATATTAAAAAAATAATGTTATGGAAGATACGTTTATGTAAGCTCAACAATACTCAGATAGATGTTTGTATCAAATATATGAGATATTTGTATCACAATATACTTCATTAACACAAGTCAATTGAGGAATAATTTGACTTGAAGAAAATCCGATGTCAGATTTGAAAGATGAGAAAAGTAAAAAAGAATAGTAAATTGGCCTCATAAATTACATGGTTCAAATGCAACTAATTTGACAAAAAGCAGCTAGTGTCATTAGTTAGCAGTAGCAATGCATCTTATTTACCTTATTGGATTAAAAAAGGCCATACACCAAACTTTACGTTGTAAAAAAAAATGATATTTCGGAGAGCATGATATATACATTTTGAAACTTAATCAAACTTAGGTGTGCACTGTAGAAGCATTCTACAGTGCGGACCTACTAGTGTTTGACATGTGAAAGTAATGGCAAAATAGCTAGTAAGTCTGAGAAATGAAAAATGTACAATATCTGATTCAAAGTTGATAAATGACTCTTAGCAGAGCAAGGAATTGGAGGAGAGGAAAATGCCAAGCCTCTCTGATTGTGAGAACAGAATCACCTGTCCATCATCATTAGATTATTTCCAATCAATTCTCACATTTGGAGATTGGAATGATTTCACTTGCTTATTTTTTTATCAACGGTTCCTTTTGGTCTTGTAGAAACGCACGTTCTTTATTATGCATCAAATAAAAGTATGTCCTTGTAACATGTTTGCACTTGCATGCATTGAAACATTGTACACAACGGGGATTTCAGTTTTAGGAGAATATTAATAAAGGACATTTAAAAAAATTTAATATCTGATAAGAATTTGAACAGATTTGATACATGTTAAAATAAAACTTTACTTATTAATTATTAATGTTTACTTATTAACAGCATGAAACCAAATTGCTTCCAAAATCTTTTATTAATATTTTTCCTTTATTTTATTTTATTACCTTATCCCAGTTAAGTGTTTGGGTGCCAGACTCCCAATAACATTACAACCTTCGTGTCCTCAAGTTGTCTTTTTTTCTTCTTTAAATTAGAAAAACCACTTGAGATTACAAGCAGAATCAAACCCATCACTTCGATTTACAAAAAAAGCTAGCATGCCATTAATAAGTTATAAAGCTATTTTAATCTTTAGGTGTCCTTTGAGCTGGACTAACTGTAATGATGCATAACACTTTTAAGCATGAGTCTTTATCACAAGGACTTGGTTCTAAAAGGTTTGGGCCAGCCTGTTCTTTTTTTAATATTAAATAAATTTAACTGGCTAAACCACTGGGGTAGTAATATTAATTGGCTTAAAAAATGAAAATAACTGAATGAAATTTCTGCTTCACTTTCCCTTAGCACATTCATGTGAAGGAGTAGTGATAGGCCTATAACAAGGTGAAGTAACATTCGCGAGCAATTGTCAGTAATCTAATAAAACAAGCGCAGATTGACAAATGTATTAGAAAGAATTGTGTATGACTTGGAATCTTGATATAAATTTTGAGATATTTAAGAAGCAAAGAAAAAGGAAAAACCACTCTTATCTAGACAGCAATGTACAGGGGAATCCTAACAGAAACTGAATTGCCATGAAACAGAAGACTTGAAGATAGTGATACAATAAGCCACTTGCTACGATCTGGTGGTGCGAGATTATGAAAATTTTCAAGGTTTAAACCTCCTTGCTGCCAGTAGCTCCAAAAACAAACGAAAATTTGATCGCAGAACCTTTGATCTGGTAAAGTGAGAAACTTCATGCTGCATGTAAGGGCAGGTGATTCCATTTCAAGAATCTGAGTAACATCAACTGTCCACATCATCTTCGCTAACTCCATTTCAACATAAAGACCAAAGATGGATGAAGATATTTCTTTGTGAACTTCAATATAGCCGATGAAAACCCAGGTCCTAAGTTTTAGTGTCCAGCAGTGAAATCCATATTATGGCAAGTGGGGTTGCATGGATAAGGGCCGTCGATTTGCTTCACCACTTCTCTGTCAAAAAACCAGTCAGCAACAGCTTCAGCTATTGTCTGTTCCAATGGCAGCCGAAAAGATAAGTTAGAAGTCACATTAATTGGAAAACAAATCATAGGCAAAAAGACAACTTAGGATTCAGAACATAGGCTCCACTTCCCTGAAGCTATGCTTCTCCAAGAGTTCCTTTCCCGACACAGTTCAGATTGAAACACGGAGAAAAACACTTCCCAAGTTATAGACATGTTCGAAAGAAAACAATAATCCCAAAATACGTGAAAATCTCAATTACACATTAAGTGTAACAGATTGAATCGTATGTTCAAACCAGAATGCCAAATTGATCAGATGATGACAGCATAGAACATATATACAGCCTCTTGATTTCAGTTTCAAGGGAAGAAAATACAATCATTAAAAATAGAGAAGAGACTGAATTTATTTAAATGACTACTATAACACAAATGTGAACTTGACTTAAATGATTATGTGGTCTGATCTCCAAACACAATGAGGTATCAAAACTGCACTTACCTTATTGTTTATTTTAGGAGAACTGGCTGAATGCCACGTCTCAGACATCCAAGTCTGGCAGTGAGTAAAACAGGAATTTATAAACAGTCCAGCTTCCTTTGGATGCCGGAATTCATTCACGGACTTCAGCAAAGAATTTCGGAAACCTGAATGATTATTAAATCAATCAAGGCTAAGTACGGATACATAAAGACAATAACAGCTTGCTCAGATCAGGTCATCATTCATATTTAATGACAAGGTTAACTCCCCCTTGGGTGGCAATGTTCACTCATGCAAAACCTCTCAACAGTCGGAAAGAACGATGTTCAAGATATTAAAAGTTTTCTATTTAATATTGATGTTTTGCTTTAATTTCCTTCATACCATACTCCTAAATAGTACCATAAAAAACCAAGATACGAAGGGTGAGGGGGCCAAGTTCAAATAAAAAGGTAACATATATCAAGAAGTTATTTTTTAAAAAACTTTTTAATGTTTAAAATAAAGTTTTATTAAAAAATACTTTTATAATATATAAAAAATTAAAGGATAAGAATCATTTAAAATTATATAATATTTTCAAAAATAAAAAATACTTAAAGTTAAGTCATATACTGATATAAATATGATAGAAACTCTAAAAAAAAAACTACATTTGTGGTTTACTTCAACTAATATTATATGAAAATTAAATAATAAAAATAAATTTATTTTAAATAATTACCCAAATTTTAGGTAAAAAAATGCAAATATAATCTTCTGACTTCAAACAAAATTTTATTTTGATTGTCTTGATTTTATAAAGTGACTTTTTAGTCTTCTAATCATAATACTGTTAGTTTTATTAAACTTCAAAGATTGAAAAAAATTATCAAATGTTGACATGTAAATTGAGTTTAACATTTTAAAATAACAATAACTGGCGCAAAAATTGTTATTTTGAGAGTTGAGACAAACAATGTTATTTATAAGATTGAAAAAATATTTTACAGGGTGGTGACGCACTGAGGCCACTCATCTTCACACACAACACACATGCTATAACATGGTACATGAAGATAAGGTTGAGGTGGCCCCCCTTAACATACACTTATCACTTAGGTCCGCCTGTGAAAGTATACATTCCTGGAATATCATTCAATGAAGTGAAACTGAATCCAGAGATCTTACTATGGCCTTCGAAACAAGACCCATAAACATTATCCTATCAAAATAACATTCACTGCCTTCTATTCATTCAATTACCCGGAATTCCCCTAGTCCTCAAATTAGTATAACTAGAGTAGGTCTCTTGCATTTGCACAAAACCCAAGATGAGTAACACTATTACAGCTTGTGAACAATGTGGCTTCTTACAACTATAACAGGTATATTGATGATGTGTCAAAATATAATAAATCTGCCAAGAAGGCCACTGGATATTCCAGACAGGATTATATCATCCAGTCACTATTGTGAAGCAGCATATAGTAGTGCAAAACTATCTGGTAGCCTTTAGCTATGCTGTTTTTAAATTATTACCTTGAAGAATATCCATCAGATTGGCATCACAATTGTAAATGCTCAGTCTGCATCTTTTCCAGCGGCCTTGAGGATCTGATCCAGCTGGCACCAGAATATGTTGTATCTGGATATATCAAGTTCCTATCATATGGCTGTGATAGGGTTAAAACATAAAATTAGGAAATTAAATAGCTTCTTGAGGAAACTTACCTGCCAGAAGTCATAAGCTGGCTGGACAAGGAACACAGGAGTCTGTAGCCTTTTCATAATTTCAGCTGGAAAGAAACACTGCAATGCAATTCAACAGTTGTTAGTACCATTTATTGTTTGTCTGAATCATGAGAACTAAACTTAAACGTTGAATATTATCATTGAAGAGCATCAAGGGGTATCTAAAAACGAAGAAACATACCCTAGATGGTTCCATACTAGTAGTGCAGTCCCTGTGCAAGCTCTTCATAACACCCTGACAAGAAAGGTAACACGAAGAGACATATTAGTAGGGAAAATATCTTTTTGGGCTTTAAATTAAAACAAAAATAAAATCAGATCGCCCAAATAAAGCGAAAATATAGCTTTGGGTCCCTGAATTTTGTTTACGTTTTGCTATTGGTCCCTACACCTTTTTTTTTCCGGTGTTCTAGGTCTCTACACTTTTATTTTTCTGGTGTTCTAGTCCCTACACTTTTTGGAGGGACCTAAAACACTGAAAAACAAAAGTTTAGGGAATTAGAACACCGAAAAAAAAGTACAGGGACAAATAGCAAAACGCAAGTAAAGTACAGAGATTCAAAATTTTTTTCCCAATAAAAAAAGTACACTAGAAAAAGTCCCATGTCTGCTTTTGACACATTAGACATTGGTGCCAAAAATGGCACAGCACTTCAAATAATATTCTTTTTTTTTTTTTTTACTTTGTTTTGTAGCAAGCTTGCAACATCCATCTTAGAGTCCATGAATTTTCATTTACCAGAAAAGGTAAGTATTACCTGAAGCTGGACAACATCATGATAAAAGGATCTCATGGTGTTATTGCCAAGAATATCCTTCCTGAAATTTAAGGCATAAAAGGGATCAATTTTTATCTTGCTCGTCAGTGAAACAGACAACATGCAGGTGCAAACTAGTACTGAATCCACTCAAAATTGACTTCGAATCCCAGTTATAGCTCAATGCAATTTAAATCTTCTAGTTACATTTTCATTCCCATAGGACTGTCAACCTTGGAATACATTCTGTAATCAAGAAGTATTTTAGACTACTTTAAGTTCAATATCTATCAAAAAAGGTTATGGTAGAGACAATGATATGTGAACGAAAACATACTCATCAAGGAAGAAGCCTGCATCAGCAAGACACTTGACGGTTGCATCCTTTGGAAGAAGTCCTCGAAAGTCATCACAATGTATAAGAGTTGCCAATCCTCCCGCAGAGCATCCTGAAAGCAGAGCCTGCATAAATAACTTACCTATCATCACATTTGCAGCTCTAGGTTCACCAGTAGAAGGCAACAAAAATCATAATCATATAAATGTAAATTGCACGAAAAGAAAGCATATTCTGTGTAGTAAGTAGTAACTTCCATCTATCACTTAAATCCACTCAGGGTTTGCTTCATTTACAACTGAAAGTCAATAAAATCCAAATAATCCCACAATTTCTTCCACTAAAGGTTGTATGGATTCGTCTTTCAGGTCATCTATGTATAATGCCATGCTTCATAAATCGACTAGTCAATTGTAAGAAGGAAAAAATAATGGCATAATTAACCCATTGGACTAGTTACATTACATCAATACTTAACAATCATATTTTGTAACACCAGTACACCACTTGCCAAATCAATCAAAAAGAAATCCCTATAAAAATAAAAGCAATTGAAAACAACGATAGCTTTATAGGATTCTTAATCTACAACGACACAAGAATTGAGGAACAAATGACTTTATAATTTATATCAGCTCCTCAGGATTTTGATGAGCGTTGAAAAAAGTATTCATCTCAGTTCAGATATTCTATTAATATAACCTGCGGATGTGATAAAACTTCAACAGAGAGCCGAATATCTTTTTACAAGCGTACATCACTTTACTTGGTGCAGGTTTCACCAAACTTTAGAGAGTAAAGAATAAGACATATATGCTAGATTGTCATGGAAGTACAACCTCTTTGGCTTCAGACAAGCCAATTGATAAGAGTTCATCCATAAGTGCTTCCCATATGAACTGACCTCTGAAGAATAATTTATTTCCTTTCTGCAGTAACAGAACAAAAACAAGAAAGAAATTTCAAGAACTTCTCATATAGACATAGACAGACATGTCAAGGAGTTACGGAAAACCCAATGCAAATAATTAAGAAACTCCCATAAGTCAATGTTGCACAAGCGAAAATGAGACCAACCTTAATCTCGTTTTCTGGGTGACCAGCAAGGGACGCACCATCACAATAACGTATATCAACCTTGTTCCAGCTATAGAAGTCTGAGTAAGTTTGATACACCAAGCTAAGTAACATAGTTTACTGAATATGCACGTCCAACCAACTAAAACTACTTCCACTGCAGCCTAGCTGAATATTCACATTCTGAAAATGTTTACGATGATTTATGAAGTTTGACTTGGAGTAATGATTTAATCACTGGATATTTGGTACCAAAAAGATCAAATTTCCAAACCATAGTGTTAAAGGGTTTTATGTCAGAGTTAGCAGCATTAGATGGCCGGGTATAGAAATTGCACATCCTATCAAAACTTAAAAGAAACCAAACCAATATGGTACGTTAGGAAAGGCCAAATCCGGGTATACCGGGATTCTGAGCAGGGTCAGAACTTAAGATTCCCGAGAAATGTTGTCTATCCATATACTTTGAGGATCCCAAAGCAGTCATTTTTCGCCGAGAACACGAAGAAATCGTATTACACCAACCTCCGCCCTACATCCAAACAACGAGAATTGTAATCAAGGAATTCAAGTGATCTTTTTTTCTTTTCATTTTCTTTTGGCATTCAAGGAAGGTTTACGCAAGCGAAGAATACTCTCGCGGAAGAACCTCAATGTGAAGTATCCAATTGTTAGAGCCGGATCCAAATCCCCTTTGAAATGGTATCCCGGCAAGCTCCCATCCAAGCAAACTGCACAAAAAAGCTCAAATCACACAGTCAAGCAACAAACTTTACTCTTGAGCGTTGTTTTAAATTACTTAGAAACGGAGAGAGATTGGGTTCACATACAAGCGGCTCTATCCTTGGCATTTCGAAGAAGGGTCAAATCGACGAGATCATCGTTTTGGCTAAGACCGAATGAGGGGTTGGTTTCGGAACCATTGACGCTTCGCCAGGAATCCGAGACGAGAAAAAGTGCAAAGACGACAGCGAGAGTGAAGCCCACGGCGGCTATGGCCCAGTCCTTCTTGGCCAATTTGCGCCACCGTAGTAGAGCGCGAAGATGAGGATTGGCCATAAGAGAAGACAAGAACCACGAATCGCACTCAGCTAAGACTGAGGAGGAAGACGAACGCTGTAGAACCAACAGGTAAGCGGGGCTGCCTGGTTTGGTTAGCTTCAAAACTAGAGTGTGTCGTTGACCTCTCCGCAGTGAATGCACGGTGCGAAAAGGACAAGACTTCCCGGAAAAACTGGGACAGGTGGCTCGTGCAGTCGTGTATCAGATGCTGATGTATATCGATTTTTTTTTTTTTTGGGCCTGACCCATGATATCTAATTATCTATATTAACAATGCACTCCCTCCTTCTTTTTAAACATATGTGATATTTTTTTAACAAATTAAATATTAAAAAATATAAAATATTTTTAATCTTTTAAAATATAATGATTATTTATTTTTTTAAAAAAATTATTAAATAAATTAATTTATATTTATTTTATAATGAACATTTATTAAATAAAAATAAATATAAAAAAATAATATTAGTTTAAAGACAATCAATTATTCAAGATCAAATTTGGTATAAAATACATTTTTGCATGAAAAGAGTGCTCATTTAGTATTTTTTTACAAGTTTACCCTCCTTATACTAATAAAAATAATATTACATTTAGTTAAGGAAAAAAAAGAGATAATATTAGGTGGCGTTCCTTATTTATTCGAGAAAATGACAGCTAGATCCTAAAATATTGAATTAATACTAATTAAATTTTTAATAGATTTTTTTTCAAAAAAAGTTGAAAATATTGATTCAAATGATTACAAATTTAAAAGTTTTAATTATAAATAAGTATTTAAATATCAAATATAATATTTAGATTATAATAGAAATTTTTATTTGTAATTGTTTGAATTAATATTTATAATTTATTTTGTAAAAATTTTATTGAGAATCCAAATTGTCTTTAATTCATTCTTTTGAGACTTAATTGTCATTATTCCTATTTATTAGGGTGAATTTCATATCGGGACCATGGATATGGCTTAAATAAAATTCAGAACTAGATAAATTTGAAAATATATGGCAGGTTGTCGGAACTAAAATGAAAATAATTTTGTAAGATAAATAACTAAAGCTCCCTTAATACAAATGAAAAAAAAAGGTGAATCACAACTTATAACATGAATCATTAGATATATCAAATTAACAAGTAATATAACATTTTTAACAAGTATAAGTTAAGATAATAATTTAACAATTTTCAAATTTAATTGGGGTTTGATAAATTCACAAATAATGTCATAGATTTGGCATATAACATAGGGAATTTAACAAGACGCACTTAACAAGTCATATTATGCAAGGATTAATATTCTATTTATTTTCATTTTCGTGAAGAGCATTTTAGTCATTTTTCTGACAAAATTATTTTTATTTAAGTCCCAACAGCCTGCAGTGTATTTTAAGATTTATTTGATTCTTATTTTTAATGTAGTCACATATATAGATGGTCCTAATACGAAATTCTCCCTATTTATTATATTCTAATAACATGTTTTTGGATTTTATTACCATCTATATTTCTAGTAGTTATCTTAATTTCACGTGCATAACCATTATTTTAAAATTAATAGAAAATTAATTTTCAATCCTTATAATTTCATCTAGTTTTTACTTAGGTCACTAGAAAATTTTTCTTTTTATTGAATCTTTGAAGTTTTCTCCGTTACAGATATTAATCCTTTTGACTGAAATTCGTTAAAAACGTCGTGTAACAGCGTTTGTTGGTTGTTGGGTCTCATTCTCTGATATAGCTTATTCAAGTTTCTCGTATAGGACCTATACTACCATTTCTAAATTCCTCAAACAAATCATTATCCTCATCACCGTCAAAGTCTCCGGGGCTATCATCAGAATCCATCCACTTGAAGCGGATCCAAAATGAATTGCACAGCGCAACAAGGAACTTGTGGGTGCGTTGGGTCTCTACACGGTACAGCTGCTTCCAAAGCTTCTCCATCCCGTGGCAGCAATGGACTGCGGTTTTAGGCGATGAACCAAAAACCATGTCGCGTATCAAAGAAAGCACTTTGCATTTTAATTTGCCTTGGTCTGTATAGATCAATCACGATTGCCATGCTCTAGAAATTCTTCTGCAAAACCAAAAGATAGTGAGGAAATTCTTCGAACTGGTATTTTTCATGGCTACCTGGAGGCTTTTTCTGCCATACCTTCCACGGCCTGTATGGTGGACGCTGCTGATCATCTATTTAGGGAAGAGTTGTTTTAGGAGTTTATCGGGGTCCCTGCATGGTGGCTTTGGAACCGTTTATTGGGGTAAAGCCATATTCAACAACTAATTATATAAATATATGGATTATTGAATGTGATTTCATATTGGAAAGAGACAACTGAAGACGATGATTTGCAAAGGCAAGGAAGGAAGTTGTAGCAGAAGTAAATGTAGGGCTTATACAATTGTCAAATCATAGCTTGCTTATATACCTCCAGGGTTGAAACTTGAAACAGTTATTTTGGTCCAAGGGATCACAATCTCACCTCACTCTGAAGCTGTTAAAAGACGGCTTTTAACGGTTTGAAGGCTGAAGGATTAACGCTTATAACGGTGAAGATTTGAGGATCCAATGAAAAGGGAAGAAATCCTAGGGACCTGCTTAAAATTTAGATGAAACTTTAAGGACTAGCCAATTAATTTTGCCTAAAACAAATTATTCTAAAGTAATTATTGGTCTTAATAGAAGAGGCGTGGACAGCAACAATCTCGAGTTGTCAAATCTACGGATGAAGGGAACTGGATGTCAAAATTCTAGGGGCACAAAAACAAGTTACTACAAGTCATAAACATTTCGATCCTATCTTTCAATTTCATTTCTCTGTTTTTAGTCAAATGAGTTAACTTGCTAGCTAGACTACTTCAATCACAACCTTCATATTCATTTTGTTTGTTTTATCGACCTACCCCCTTCTTGGTTGCAAGAATTTATGACCCCTCCTATTTTCTTTCTTCGTTTTATTCCTAAAGAAGAAAAAAAAGAAAAGAAAACAAGAAGGTTTTTTAGCAGTACAGTAATTTCTATGACCTCGATGAAAATGGTCATTTAAATGAACGGGACGGAATGTTGTTACTAATTAAAGGGATGGGGTGTGAAATCCAATCTGTGTTCATGTGTTGACCACATCTTTTGTGATTTTTGCACATGAACATTTTGATTCTTTCGATGTACTAAATTATTTCCACTAGAAGTCATGGTTTTATTGAACAAGTCTCTAGCTAATTAATTCCTCTGCACACCCTATTTGACTCTAAGATCGTCAGGTGATCAATTGACTCATTATTAATTTCCCTCAATCTATAGCCAATCACCACTGATGAGAATTTGTATTTAAAAGCCGTAATGGATCGAGTTTCATTCTCAGCTAATTACTTTTGCTAACGGTATGATGTCCAACTTAATTAGGAGTCCATACATGCTGACAATTAATGAACGACACACAAACCCTAGTTTATCATCAGAACCACAAAAACATATCTGACGATCTCAGTGCGTATGAGAGCCTGTTTGATAACTATTTCGATTAGTCTTATAATCACCGTTCATTAATTGCGATAATGCATGGTTTATAACTGATGATGTCCTTCATATTTCAAATTTTCAAGCTTTTTGTATTATGTAAACTTGTGCTGTTACTTTAATTTAATTACTCTATATTTCTTATACTTAGGGGTGAGAATAGGTTAGGCCCCTATCAAACCTACACTCTGGCCTACTTCAGGTCCAACTTGACTTATTTACTAAATAGAGTTAGATTAGGTTTAGATATTTAATTAGGCCTATATATTAAATATAAGTCAGATCTAATTTTTTAAGGCTTAACCTATGAACCTAATAGATTGGATTATTTACACACACATATTATGTAATAAAGCACACACATATTAGTTTCACAATTTGATTTTTAATTAATCTATTTTTTTATTTTTAGTTATGTTTTTAATTAGATTGAACTTATATATTAATTTTAATATTATTTTATTATTGTATTGTATTGTAGTGGATAAGTTTTTTTAATTGTTATGCATTATAATTGATAAATATGTTATATATTTATACTAATAGTCCTAGCATATATTTGATACATTGAAAATTAAAATGTGAGTTTATTTGAAAAGCTTACTTTTAAATAAGTTTTCAAATTAGACCAGGTTTTAAATAGGCTTAGACTTTAATTAAAAAAAATCTTATACAAGCTCAAGTTTTTGACTTACCACATAAGCACATGTTTATTTGGCCAAAACATAGTTCAATCTAACCTATTTTTATCCTACTTAATCGTATATATAAATATCTCTTTGTATCTTTTAATGACAATTTCAAAGGCTAAAGCAAAGTATTTAGAGAAGTGAATAGGTGTGCTGATCTTCTTGCTCATTAGACACCTAGAGACAATTTTAATATTGGTATCTACAATGACCTCCCTTAGAATGTGGAGACATAATGATTTTTGATATGACCTGACTTTTTATTTCTTGTGTGGTTTTTTGTAGTCTTGTATTAAAAAAAAAAAAAAAGGCGAAAGCAAACGACCAATTCCAAGATTTTGCGAAACTGTTGACATAAAAAAAAATTCATGGGTGGACATTGTCGCCCACATGGTAGAAATGTTAAAAGCCCCAGAGACGTTAAAAAAGTTTTTTTTTCTTTCTTTTGTTTTTTTTTTTACTAGCAAGTTAAGAAGTTTCAAGTGATAACGAATTAAGGAATAAACTAACCTTGAAGCGTCATCAAATTAAAGCTTTGAAATTAGTTCATCATTACAGCTTAGAAGCACATACTAATTTTCACACCTTCCTTTTTGTCTTTAAACATGTGAGTCTATTACAAATTTCTAGATATCATTGATAAATGTTTTCAAAAATACCCCTTCTAGAATATAAATTAAAAGGAAAAACTAATTTTTATATAATACATGTTCCCTTCATTTAAAAATATAAAATTTTTTTAATCAAATTATACTTCCAATAAATTAATTATTTATCTTTAAATTAATATCATATTTTCGTGTTTTGCCCTCATATAATAAGCTGTCTTACTCAAAGGTGATTTGATATTTTATTTATTAAGAGTATTTTAAAAAATTATTTATTACACATTGAAAAAAAATTATATATTTTTAAACATCTAAACTCAAAAAAATGTACTACATTTTTTAATATGCATGTTGGTACCACCTTGAAGTGTGTATTTTTGAATATTAGGACTTACTATTATATAAAGTAGTGCATAGGAGCAAATTTAAAAGGACAAGAAAAATACTGATAACAAATTAAAATATATGACCGGCCTTATTTCAAGCATCCAAGGGCCACGGTTCCAAGTTAATTAATATTGTGATGGTAATTAGCGCGAGAGTTCCCTTTGAATGCAATCATTGGTCACAATTTTAATTTTAATTATATTCAAAATGGAAATAAACCCTTCATAATAAAAAAAATTCTTAAGTCTCAGTTGCTCAGAGCAATGAATTTTTTTAGAAAAAAAATATTTCATAATAATATAGGATAATTCATTTAAAACTGTTGATTATAAATGACCCATATGCTAATTGAAAGAAAAAACTTCAAACAAAATCAAACGACTCATTTCTACGCTGGTTTTCCCCCACAGAATTTAAATGATGAGTCTTTTGTTTACCAAAGAGGTTATTACTCGTAATAATTAAAATTATATATCTTTAAAAGTTCATTTTCATTTACAGTTCGATCATATCATACAAAATATAAATTTTGCTTTTGTAAGCTCAACATCCAGATTGATAATCATCAGTTTGATCCCAATTGTAATAATCATAGCAATTCAAGCTCGTGACACTCAACACAATCTTATTATATTTTTTTCATCTTCTTCCAATTCTCTTAGTACAGTGAGCAAATCTAGTCTATCAAATTTGAGAACTAAGATATGCACCGGATTGCATTACAATTTAGATCGAAATGGATGTAACGAAGAGCCAATACCAGGTAAGAAATTTAGGTAATGATGATCGATAAAGCATGGTTAATTTTATTTTATTAATTTGTGTGTCCATGTATATAAATTCTTGTTCTTCTTCTTGCTATTATATTGCTGCTGCTGCTCCGATCAGTACTCAGAAGTTTAGTTTTGATTTGAGTTAGTATATTTGTCTAACACAGATTTTACACATGCATGGAAACTTATATTTCTACTTCCGAAATAATGCAATTAGAGGGGGAGAAGATCAAATCTTTGAATGTTTAGTAATTTGATAAGGGAGGAATAATATAATTCAATCAGTGATAGATAATGTTTTTTTAATTTCTGGTTGAAGACAAATAAAAAAAAAGTGATTAAATATGCTTTTGCATTTCTTTGAATTTTTTATAAAAATATTTAATGCTAAATAAATATATGGTTTGAGTCTGAAAATGCCTCGGAGAAAATACAAATGAGTATATTGTCATATAGCTAACGATAAATTCAAGCTATATATATATATATATATATGAAATAGAAGAAGGACAATTATATATTATATTTGCAATTGAAATTATTTTAATGACTTTCTTTTTGAATAAGTTGATTGAAATTAAAGTTCACCTATATTAGAAGCCAAATAACCAACGCTAATAAATTTATATTTGAAGTAAAAAAAAAAAAGGTCTTAATTTGAATTGGGTCGCCAAATGATATGTTGAACATATATAGTCCATGACCCTTTTGTATTTCTAATTGCTACAACGAACAAGGATATAAATACATCAAGAGGGAAGAGCAAGTCAAGTTTGACAGGTAATCGAAGAAGAAAACGCAGAAAAACAATGTTTGCAAAAGAGAATCAAGGCCCTGCGCAGAGAAAAGCCACAAAATTGCAGGCTGCCATTGAAGAAGATCAAACAAGCACAGCAGAAGCTCAAGATACCGCTGAGGATTCTAGGATCCAACAAGATGATGACAAAAATCTTTTACCGGCGGAACGACAAAAAGATGGTGCATGTTTTTATTCAGACTTGCTCGATATCTCCAACGATTGGACTGCTTATGAGAGTTTGTTTTGTGACTATTTTGATTAGTTTAATTTGGTAATATATTAATTATAATATTGAATGATTGAAGGAACAAATCCCATTATCAGCTGAGTTTGCTTCCTAGTGATGAAGTAACAGCTAAATATGCATATTTTTTCAGACTGACGTTAGCCACGTGACTGACTTGTGAACTGTCAAAGTTACGTTGCAACAAGTCTATCAGATTCTAAGTTATACAACTGAATGACATGACTAATAATGAATGTCATTATTGGGGCCTTTTTAATTATTCTTACTTAGGTGAGTATAGGTCAAGCCCGCCAATTCTCATTTGGAATCACAGCAGACAAGTACCTAAAATAATATGCCAAATAATTAAGGGTCACATTTCCTTTTTTTTGGCCGAAAAAAGAGAGCAAGAGAAACGAACAGCTCTAACTCTGGAAGGTGCTGCCTGTTTTCCACGCCTTTGATGTTTTTAGCATGCTAGAAGATGCGCAAGCCCTCTCAAGATGCATGATCTCACGGGCCTTACGACAACACAGCTATCTAATAAGGAAAAATCTTGATCTCAAAGTCAAATAATGATAATTAATATATGTACGTATCTGCAATGAAATCCGCCATTAAATCTGCGAGTTCTTATAAGACCTCAAGTTGTTTAAGACAACACAGTTATCCAACAGCACCTAAGTCGACCTAACAATAAAATCAGAACTTAAGATTCACACAAGCTCTTGTTACGCCATAATCATCTATACATGCTGCTCGCGTAGGTATTCTAATTTTTCAGGCGTCTGCCTGTCTGGAAATTATATTGTTTTCAAGAAGATTATGCATGTCTATCCCCATTTTCTTAAAACAAAAAACAATCTTCCAATATAATTTTTGACAGTACGCTGACTTTGTGAATAAGGCAAGGGAATGATGATACCAGAGAATTGAATTTGAAGTCTTCACAGGCAACAGGGGTAAACATGGTGTATAAATAGCTGTCTCAGGACGGATCCAAAAACACAAGCCTATCGTTCCCAACTTAAAGGATATCATATATTCAACAATCAATGGCTGCTAGCCCAGTCCTTATTCATCATCTCAAACTCAGCATCTGTACTGTGTTGTTATTATGTCTCACCGGAACAGCTTTTGCTCAATTACGCTCCACATATTACTTACTTTCATGTCCTCTTGCTCTTCCTATCATTAGGGCCGAAGTACTCAAAGCTGTGCTCCTTGAGCCTCGAATGGGTGCTTCCCTGCTCCGTCTCCATTTCCATGACTGCTTCGTCCAAGCAAGTTTTCCTTTCACTCACTCATGCACACACACACACACATTATCATAATTTCTCACGTATTCTAACCATTATTAGTTCCTCATATTCCAGGGTATAAAGAATTGAAGGATTATAAGTTGATTATAGTTTGATAATCAGACCCTTGTATGTGTATTATATGCACTCAGTAAAATATACGGGCGTTAACTTGGATATATGTTGGTGTGTTCAATTTTGACGACATAGGGATGCGACGCGTCAGTACTATTGGACGACACAGAAAATTTCAGGGGTGAAAAAACAGCATTTCCCAACAATAATTCTCTGAGGGGTTTTGATGTCATGGATGATATAAAACATAAACTAGAGAACCTGTGTCCCGGCGTCGTCTCATGTGCTGACATTTTGGCGGTTGCTGCGAGGGACTCTGTGTACGCTGTAAGTATTTGATTGATTTTGTCGGTTCTCTTCATGCATGAGCTAGCCATTTAATTTACAGATAGAGAAGAGTGCATATGTATAGACTTTTAATGAATTGGAAACTGGTCAGCTGGGTGGACCGTTTTGGGAAGTGAGATTGGGAAGAAGAGACTCAACCAAAGCAAGTTGGAGCGATGCTAACAAGGATTTGCCTGCTCCGTTCCTCAATCTTACTGGCCTCATCACTGCTTTTGCCAACAAAGGCTTCACCCGGCAAGAAATGGTGGCTTTGTCTGGTAACTATTACCAACCTTTTCTAGTGATGAATTATAATTTTGTCAACTGTAATTAATTAACAACGAAGAGGCGTTTTGTTTGAATGTATATTGGTGTCGTCAGGATCTCACACGATAGGGATGGCGAGGTGCAGGACTTTCAGGAACAGGATCTACAACGACACCAACATAGAGTCGTCGTTTAGAGAATCGAAGCAAGCGGTGTGTCCGGCCGTAGGTGGAGACGACAATCTATCCGCTTTAGACGGCTCGCATAGTGACGGAAACTGCTTTGATAACTCATACTACAAGAACTTGGTGAAGAAGAAGGGTCTGTTGCACTCGGACCAGGCGCTCTTCAATGGAGGTCCCACGGACGCTCAAGTGAGAGCTTACGTGCATGATTCTTCACTCTTCTTCCGCGACTTTGCCAAGGCCATGATCAAAATGAGTGAGCTCACTCCTTTGACTGCTCCTCATGGTCAAGTCAGGACTAATTGCAGAAAAGTCAATTGAATGCTAATTGCCATAACATGAAATCTATTGTATTCGATCCAGTTACTTGCTATATCGTTTTTAGAATATTGTTTCACTCATGCATAGGTTCTCAAAATATCCAAAAGAATAAAACATCCCATGTGCTGCTATTAGTCGGATTTTATTTTGCCCGTTAATTGATATTCACTTATGCCAGCAAATTACAATAGAATATAGTTTCTCAACGTACCGGGCGATCAAATTAAAAAAAAAAAATATTATTCACAAATAATATTATTCACAAATCAAATACACATGTTTGTTTAATCTTAAAAAAATAATTCTCAGATTATGTAAAGTGGTGATTTATCGTCTTGAGATTTTATATAGAACATAAGTTATTTTACATTTGATTACAACTATAAAATAAAATTTATTTTTTAGTTATGTCCATATTTTATAAGGTATCTTTATATTTCTGAATTTTCAAATTTTCATAAAAAATCACACTTGATTATTTTTAGAAACTATTTAAAGTAAATTTTTAAAATAATTAGAAATGTAATTTTTATATATTCTAGTTATTTTTATAAAATTAATAAAAATAACCTAGACTAGTAATCGATTACTGGATCAAGTTGTGAAAATTCTGTTACAGCATATTTGAATTAATGAAAATTTAGATTATTTAAATCAAATCCTTCATTTAGATATATAAAAATTCATAAATTTAGATTTGATTTAAGTTTAAATTAAATTCATTTTTTATTATTACTTTTTTTTGTAATTAAATTCTTTCAACACCCTATTTTTTTGAAATTCCAATTATTTCAAACCTTCCGTTCTGTTCGTATTTTGCTGCCACCGAAAAGCGATCCTGGTAAACCTGGCCATGTCATTGCAACATGTAACCATGCCACTAACTTATATTTTCATTTATAAATTGCCTCCTCCATTGAAAAATTTTTTAAATATATATTTAATTTTTTATTTTTTTTTCTCTCTATTAACATTGATGTCAGAATTCATTTACATTCAATATAATCTGAATGTCATGTTTTTTATTGAATGGACTATGAGTAACATGATACATTAAGTCTATCTAAAAATTTCTCCACCCATAATTCGATAATCTCTTTTATTTGTGTCTCATATGAACATGTAGTATATTGTTACATAATATTATATATATATATATATATATATATATATATATATATATATTAAACAAAACAAACACACACTCATATATACAAATAGATAACTGTTGCTATATAATTCAATTACACAAACACATATATCTTAGATGTTAAATATTACAAAGTATTATTAAATACTTCAATTTAATTTTTCAACTTATTAAAATTTTGAATTGTAATATTTTTGTTGCATAAATTATACTATAAATGATAAGAAAAAAAACATAACTTTGTATCCCTACACTTTACTCAAGTTTTGTTATACGTTCCTGTACTTTTTTTCTGCATTCTAGGTTCCTCTATAAGCGATGTTATAGAGGCCTAAAACACTGAAAAATAAAAGTGTAAAAATTTAAAATATTAAAAAAATACAGGAACCTATAACAAAACTCAAACAAAGTATTGGGGCGCAAAGTTATATTTTTTAAAATAATAATATAATTGATATAATGGAGAATCTCATCTAGGGCCCGAAGGAGAAAAAATTACACTTAAGCCCCAATGCACTTTGAAATTATTTTTCAAGTCCAAAAGTCCTTTTTGCAAAATATGTCTTAGAAGGAAAAGACACAATTGCCCTTAGTGAGAAATAAAGAATTTTAGGTTCACTACCAATGGACAATTATTTGTTTATTTTGTGAATCTAAAGTTGTAAATTTATGTTCATCTAGTTGTAAAAATTTGAACTTGCTTTCATGATGAACTATAGTCATGAATATGTGAAGTCATAAATTATGTATTTTAATTTATAAGTAGATGAACCTGTACTTGTAAATATTTAAATTTTAAGTTGTAAATTTATTAAATTGGCTAAAACAATTACTTGTTAATATGTCAACCTAAAGTTGTGAATTGGTGAACATATAATTGTAAAAATCTAAACTTGTTGTAATGATAAACCTTAGTTTTGAATATATAAATTCATAAATTTTAAACTTTAACTTATGAATAAATAAACTTGTGTTTGTGAATATTCAAACTTTAAATTGTAAATTTATTAAGTTGGTCAAGACAAATAAGTCAACTCTAAATAAAAATTTCACTTTCAAGGGACAATTATGGATCAATATGTGAACCCAAAGTTTGTGAATTTTTGAACATGTAATTATAAAAATATAAACCTGTACTTGTTGTCTTTTCTCACTAAGGGCAATTGTGTTTTTTCTCTCTAAAATGTATTTGCAAAAAGATCCTTAGGCCTACAGAACAATTTTATATTGCATTGAGTTATAAGTGCAGTTTTTTTCTCTCTTGGGGGCCTTAGATGAGATTCTCCTTTGATGCAATATTATTTGTATTATTTATTTTATTTTATTTGTTTGTACTTCTTAAGATTATTGTATTGTTTATTTTAACATTCATACTTATAATTCTAATATATAAAAGGATTAATGAGCAAAAATGTTTTGAAAGTTTTTTGAAAGAAACAATGAATATCTTTACCTTTTAACTGGAGCAATTTTTTCTTAAAACTTTAAAAAAAAAGCAATTTCACCCTACTGAATATTGACCATTGAAATCAAAGTTTGACCAAATGGAACACAAGTCGATCGCGTTTATTGGGATTAGCTGATTTCTCCTGGGTTTTCTAACTAAGCATTAACAAGCGCTCATCTTCTTCCTTCTCTTCATGCAAAACCGACAAGAACGTGTGAAAGGCCAGAGTCATTGGATAAAAGCCACAATCAACAACCCAATAACTTGATTAAATCAACTTAGAAATCATTGAGGGAAGCCTAATAAACAAAACTGAAGCTCTAGGCAGCTAAAATCAGCAACCAAATAAGAGACACTAGAGAACGCCCAACGGCAACAAAAATCAAATGACGAAGAAGATTAATGAGGCATTTCTCTGCCATTGAACAAAAATTTATAAACTTGTTTGTTTATTCCCTAAATTTCAAAATCGTTGTCGATTACCTTGCCACCATCCTCCTTGTCAATGGGCTGTTATCTCTTCCTAGCCTCTGCACAAGGGGTCATTAGGGGACGGACAAATTTCTAAACAAGCTTCGGACCGTCCGATCGCGACAAGACTTGAGGAGGAAGAACATGAAGCGCTTGAGCAAGCCATGTTTAGGTTCGGAGGGGTCGAGATAGGAGAGAACTCAATAACCACCGGTGAGTTCAGTGGAAGGCATGTGGGTGCCAATGAAGAGATCTCTCTTATCAACCTTGGTGACATCAAAGAATACGTGAAAACTCGAGCCGCTAATAAATAATAATTTTATATATTTTATTTTTTTAATTTAAACTTTTAAATATTTATTTAAAATTAATTAATTTTAATTGAATATTATTTAATTTTATCAGTCAATCTTCAACTTTTAAATTTTAATCTAAATTTTTAAATTTTAAAATATAAATAATATCTTTAATATGTATGTACAGTTCTTATTTAATCTTATTTTATTTGTGTAGATTTTTTAAATTTAAATTAAAATATATTGATGAAGATTATTTTGATAGAGGAGTGAGGGTATACTTAAAGATCAAATCAAGAATCAAATTAAAAAAAACTTATTTTAATTATTTATGTTTTCTTGAGCATTTCAGTGTAGTTTTCAATTTGAGTTATTTAAGGTAGCTTTATTATTTTATTAAATTATTACTCCTTCCATCTCTATATATAAGAAGTTTTTTAAAACTTTTTCTCATCCCTAAATATAAAGAGTTGTTAGCATTTTTTAATAAATGGACCATTATATTCTTAGTAAATTAGAAAGAGAAAAAAAATAAGTACTCTCATTAATTTATTTTTTAAAAAAATTTATTTTTTATTTATAATAATTATGGATAAAATTAAAATATTATTATGCTTTTAATTAGATAATTGATTTTTATTAGTTTGTATGATTTAATTAAAAATAATTTATATATAAAGAGAGGGAGTAATTTTTCTTTAACCGTACAAATCACGCACAGGAACGCATCACCTGTTTTCTACTCCAATAAAGGAAGCAACCGAGTGCACACGACACAATTTTGACGATAAAAAAAAAAAAGAAAGAAAGAAAGAACAGAAAAAGAAACAGAGTGGCGGCGCAGAACAGACGAAGGAACGTGGGTGCGCCATTTTCTTTCCTTCATCCCGTGAGAGATGGCTTATCATTTTTTGATGCAGTGCTTTAATTTTTAATTTCATAGGCAGCTAATTTTCTTAATATAATCAATCATAAATTATAATTTTAAATTTTAATTAAAATTTTTTATATTTAAAAAATATTTTATTTTAACTTTATTTTAATTTTTTTTAAATTTTATATTTTAATTATTATTGTTAATTAGAGTAGTTTTATTATATAATTTTTAAATTATAAATTTTATTTCAGATTTTACATGCTATAATCGATTGATATAATAATATAAAAATAATTTAGCCTGACTTGAGTAATTGTTAATGCTCTGTTTATGATATAATTAATATAAAAATATTTGTTAGCTTGTGGGTTAAGAGAGATTTTAATTAATTCATAACTTAATTTCTTGTTTAATTCTTGAATGATAATTTGAGAAATATATAATAAAATTAAAATAATAAAGTTAAATAAAATTAATTTTTTTTGTGGATGAGAAAGATTAAGTTTAGATGATTGGGTTGTGATTAATTGCGTTGTTTACATTTGGTAATTTTTTCAGTTGAACTTTCTTTTAATTATTTAATTTAATTTTAGTTTTTTTAGATTAATTTCATCATAAAAAATTTCTCAATTGTTTAGTTTTTCATAATTATAATTTAAATAATTAATCTTTTGATTCTTAAAGAAATGATTTAGATTGTGCTTTTCTATAAAATTTAGTTTTTATTAATTTTACTGTTATTTGATAATAGAGTCAGCCGTCAAGCAAGACGACGATCGACTCAGGGGTTAGGAGTGATTAAAGGAGCAGAAACACACTGTTGATTGACACTTTTGGATTCTTGGAGACAAAGGCTTGAACCAGGCGAAGGAAGAAGGAAAGGCAACACT